TTTGAATTACTTGATTCATATTTCCCCTTCAGCTGTTTTGACTCCAGCTGTAAACCCACAAGAAATCAAGCCAAAACATTTAGCGCAGGTTTTCCAGAGCCTCCGTCCCCAGAGATGCTGCACGCTCAGGGGTGCGATGTGCAGTGACCCACAACGGCATAGCTACATAGACACAGTAAAAACTCCACAGCACGAGCATGCGGACAAGCCCGGAAACCTAACTCATTTCACTAACTCATCTGTCACCTGATGTATGATGACACTCGGCTATATTAATTTCAAGCACTTACAGCGAACATTAAGAATGCCTTTAAGAAAATAAAGCCTTTAAGACCATTTCAAGAATATGTAATGGTCTTATAAATATGCTAAGGATATATATTAAACATTTTGTATAAAAAGAAAACTTTTTAAATATTTTTAATTATAATATTTTTATTTATCATTTATTTTATGTATTATTATGCTTTGTTTTTATTTACGATTTTTGCTTCACTTTTTATTATTATTGTTATTATTTTGATTTTGGGTTCTTTCATGTTTTTGTTGCTCATTTGTTTATGTATGTGACACAGTGTCATTGGCATACATGCATATGTAGTTGCGTGCAGAGTTGGGTCTCAGTTTTGCCGTGGCCCTTCACCCTTTGTCTCCAGCTCTATGAGACAGGAGCTAAAGATCATGGGAAAGGGGCCTTAAACATCCCGTCTCTCTTTGAAGCATATAAGAAGGATTGTCAGGGGCACTGAAATGCTCTTAGCCTCCTATTTTCAGCGCTAACTGCTGCTTGCTATTTCATAACAAAGCCTAATCTTCTCAAATATGCTATGCTAAAAACATTTGCGTGACTGACAGGTAGCTACTTTATATAGGTAAGTGTGCTTATGCCTGTGAACAAGATTGCTTGTGAACATTCAATTGCCCTAGGTCAAAATGGCTGCCTTGGCAAAATGTTAAAAGGATAGTTCACCCAAAAATTAAAATTCTGTCATTAATTACTCACCCTAATGTTGTTCCAAACCTATAAGACCTTCGTTCATCCTTGAAACACAAATTAAGATATTTTTGATGAAATCCGAGAATCCATAGACAGCAATGCAACTACCACGTTCAAGACCCAAAAAGGTAGCAAGGACATCATTAAAATAGTCCATGTGACATCAGTGGTTCAACCATAATTTTACGAAACTACGAGAATACTTTTTGTACTTTTGTTCTTTTACTTTTTGTGCATGTAAACAATGCGTGTTCAACGTTAGCAGCAGCATGCGCATGCGTTGTTTACATGCAGATGAAAGCATGCGCATGCATCGTGATACTCTCCACAATGGTGGCATGCTACGGCAGACGGGATGGGGAGGAGAAGAATTGTTGAATAAAGTTATTTTTGTTTTCTTTGCGCACAAAAATTATTCTCGTAGCTTCATAAAATTACGATTAATGTCACATGGACTATTTTAACTATGTCCTTGCTATGTTTCTATGCCTTGATCGTGGTAGTACCCTTGCTGTCTATGGAGGGTCAGAAAGCTCTCGGATTTGATCAAAAATATCTTAATTTGTGTTCCGATGATGAACAAAGGTCTTACGGGTTTGGAACGACATGAGGGTGAGTAATTAAAGGAGAAGTTCACTTCCAGAATAAAATTTTCCTGATAATTTACTCACCCCAATGTCATCCAAGATGTTCATGTCTTTCTTTCTTCAGTCACAAAAATTCTCCATATAGTGGACTTCAATGGTGCTCAATGGGTCCAAATTAGAGCCCGACCGATATGGGTTTTTGGGGGCCGATGTGATAAGCATGAGTTCTGGGCCGCGGCTCGCCCGGTAAACACCGGTATTGAGTGGCCGCGATCAGCTCCGGTGGCCGTAACACAGGCTTTAATGCGCCACAGACGCGTGACGTGAAGCACAGATCAGCTCTAGTCTCTAACGTCACTGAATCTGTTGTTAAAATGAACCATCCATTCATCATATCATCATGCAAAACAAAGAATTAGAATCATTGTAATGTGACCATCAAATATAGGTGCGGGTGGGTGACGGGCGGATAATTTGAAGCAGCGGACTCGGGTGAAGTTTGAGCTCATCCGCGCATCTCTACACTACACTGACCTGGGTCCAGTAGCAAACAATGGAGCGCGCTCTGCTGGACAAACTAAGTAATTACACCATTCAGAAGCATTTAATCTGCGTTATATGTTCTGTAAAAAAAAAAAGTGCATATCTGCGGCATATTCGCCGATACCGATATATCGGCAACAGGCTCATATCGGCCGATAATATCGGCTAAACTATATATCGGTCGGGCTCTAGTCCAAATTGCAGTTTCATTGCAGCTTGAAAGGGCTCTACATCATCCCAGCCGAGGAATAAGTGTCTTATTTAGCGAAACGATTGGTCATTTTCTTAAAAAAAATTATATTTATACACTTTTAACCACAAATGCTCGTCTTCCACAAGCTCTGCGATGTGCATTTATGCGCATTAATGACAGAATTTAAATTTTTGGGTGAACTACCCCTTTAAAGTTGATTCTGGATTTTATTTGCTCCAGAAGAGCGTGAGTTCTCCATGGGGGCACCGAGGTTTAACAAAAATCATAAATGTTTAGAAAAATTGTTGTGGCCCCCCTAATGCGATGTTTTGTTCAACGCAGCCTTTGAACTCCAATGAGTTGGGGTTTGACACCCGTGGTGTATATAAACACTGATATTGGTCACGCTTATTTCATGTTGCAACAGAGTACATTGTGAGGTTTTTGAACGGTAAATGGGAAACAGACTAAAGCCGTGGTGGTCTAACCACTTCATTATGAAGGGATTAACTGGTTCAGACGAATTATGTAAACTATTTTTACCCTTTATTTTTAAACAAAAATATTTTTAAATAATATAGATTTTTTTTAATCTTAATTATATTTTTGTTTTAATTATATAGTAATTATAGACAAAACAATTTAAAAAAATTAAAATACATTTGTTATTGTAAAATTTTACATTTGAAATGTATTGTAATTAAATATCTAAATAATAAAAATAAATTATAAAACAAAAAATTGCAAACCTCTTTGTCCCTCATTGCATCATGTCTCGACAGTGGTCAGGGGTCACGATAGGTCACGCAGCAGGACTATTAAAAGGGTCAGAGGTTTCTGAAGGAGAATAAAAGGAGCCACATATAATCATCAAATGCTAGTTTTTATGACATCTAGAGGCATTTGCTTCAGTGAGTTTATGGTTGTGGAAATAATTGGCGCAAATAGTAGTTCAGCTATTGTGGACCATTTTGGATGATGACAACAAACAAATGTTCAAAACTGTGCTGAGCACTTCACAGTTTTAATATCAGCTACAAGATGCTAATAAAATATGACACATTGCATATGTCGACCTTTCTCTCACCGTGCCCAAATGCGTTTTCCACGTATGTTCTCACAAGTGAAAAGTGATTCCTCTTTTTCTTTTCTGTCTCACTCTCTTTCTGTCTCTCTTTCTCTCTGTCAGTGAAAAAGCTTTTCATATCCCCATTCGCCTGGCCTGGCCTGGCCTGTCTCTCTCCATTTCCCCTGTCGTTTGTAGGTCAGTTCCTCCTCTAATGCTCAACAGAGTTTGTCTTGTCCTGAGAGAGGGCCACACAGAGCAAATCCATTACTGGCCAAGACGAAAAAAGCTCATTTTTAGAGCGCGTTTTGAATACCAAGTAGAAGAAAGTATGAAGTACCTTAAATTACATTTGAAGTGATTTTTAGATATTAAAATACTTTTTTTTCCTCTCAGTTTAATAAGTAATAACCTATTTGTAGGTTGAGATCCTTAAAACACTGTGTTTCTGTGGTGCTATCAAAACATTGCTGTTTGTTTAAAAATTCTGACCAGCCTGGCACGGCAACAGTAGCTCAGCCAATGGCATGAGTTTGGGGCGGGGCTATCTGTCTGACTGACCAGTGGCAGAGTGTGTGGGAAACCTGTTTGAAAACTGCATTTTAAACTGTATTTTAACTGAATATAACAATTGAACTAACGGAGACTTTGGTTTGATTCTTTGGTTTGGTTTGATTTTGGTGTTTCTTCTCAACAATGTCTCAAACTCTGCTTAGTTTCTGTAAAATATGTAATAAAGTCAGAGATCTCAATATAACTACAAATATTTGACCACTTAAAGGGATAGTTTACCCAAAAATGAAAATTGTTATTAATTACTCACCCTCATTCCAAACCCGTAAGACCTTCGTTCATCTTCGGAAAACAAATTAAGGTATTTTTGATGAAATCCGAGAGATATCTGACCCTGCATAGACAGCAACGCAACATGGAAGAGAAGAAATTGTTGAATAAAGTTATTTTTGTTTTCTTTGCACACAATATTCTCGTAGCTTCATAAAATTACGGTTGAACCACTGATGTCACATGGACTATTTTAACAATGTCCTTACTACTGTACCTTTCTGGGCCTTGAATGTGGTAGTTGCGTTGCTGTCTATGCAGGGTCAGAAAGCGCTCAGATTTCATCAAAAATATCTTAATTTATTTTCCGAAGATGAATGAAGGTCCTACAGGTTTGGAACAACATGCGGGTGAATAATTAATGACAGAATTTTCATTTTTGGGTGAACTATCCATATGCTAACCACGTTGATTAATTTCTGAACTCGTATTGAATGTCAGCAAATGTCTAATTTGAGTCTGTTTGAATTTCCCGTAATGAATTTTGGTAGAAACATCCTGAGACAAAGTCTCTTGAGCTATAACAGTGCATTCACACGTTAACACTTCTCATTTACTTTGAATGGGTGACGTCATGCATTGCCGAACTGAATTGTGGGTCTGATGCATCACAGCGCTGCCGTTGCATGCGGCATAAGTTGAACATTTTCAACTCTGCAAGTGGTTTGTTCAAATACAGTAGTAATAGTAATGCTTCACTTAATAAAAACTACTAATTATAGTTGTACAACATACATAATGTCATTTTTCTTTCTCTTTTTCTTTCAACAGTCGCTCTGAAAAACCACAGCTCCAATGGTTTGTCGGCAAACAACAGTAACCATGACAACATTAAAGCAACAGGATTGGTTGACGGCTGGCCGCATGAGGGAGAGCTCCTACTACAGGTCAGAAGGACAAACGTGTTTGTGTGTGTGTGTGTGTGTGTGTGTGTGTGTGTGTGTGTGTGTGTGTGTGTGTGTGTGTGTGTGG